GATCAAGAATTAATCAATGTTACATTAGAAGCATTTCATAATCTATCTAAAAATACTGATATTCGTACAATCATGAAAAATCGTCAATTAACTTCGCTCTTTTACAATTTTACATCTACTCAAAATATTGAAGAACGAAAATTAGCATTTAGTATTCTTGCAGAAATTATGGATGAAAAAGAAATAAATGAAAAACCAAATGAAATTACTAGTGTATTTATTGATCAACTCAAACAACTCAATCCAAATGAATACAATCCAAATATGGATAGTACTCTTTCAAGTCTCCAAGGTATCATTTTCTTTTTGATAACAAAAAAATTATTGATCATATAAATTATTCTCATTCTATAGCATTAATGCAACATGAACAAATCAAAAATCAATTTATTCAACAAAATGGTGCACAAGCATTAGTTTCTTTTATTCGTGATGGTGATTCAAGTAAACAATCTGAAACACAACAAGAAGATGCTCTTAAAATCCTTTGGTCAACTACATTCAATAATCCTCATATAGTAAATACACTTCAAAATGATGTGAAACTAATGACACGAGTTAATGATATCTATCATCATGCAAAAGAAAAAGGAAATGTTACATTAGAAAAAGCAGCTGAAGGATTGATTTGGAAAGTTGAAAAAGAAGAAAAATTCAAAGAAGAACAAGCAGCTGAAGCTGAACGAAAAAAAGAAGAGAAAAAGAAAAAAGAAAAAGCAAGTGGTGTAGTAGAGGAAGAAGAGGAAGAAGAAGAAAAATATGATCTAATGATATCATATTCATGGGCAGATATGGACTTAGCTCATCGTATTTTTCATCATTTGACCGAAAAATTAGGTTATAAAATATGGCTTGATCAAGAACAAATGCATGGATCGACAATTGAAGCAATGGTAGAAAATAATAAGTTTTATAATTACATGTTTATATAAACATTAGTATACTTTAGGCAAATGCAGTTGATAATGCTCAGTTTATTCTTATGTGTATGTCAGACACATATAAACGAAGTGCAAATTGTCAATCAGAAGCTGAATATGCACATAATCGTAAAAAACATATTGTACCATGTAAAATGAAAAAAGATTATAACCCTGATGGATGGTTAGGTTTTATATTGGGTACACGATTGTATATTGATTTTGGAACATATGAATTTGAAAAAGCAATTGAACTACTTGATAATGAAATTCAATTACAAAAGAAAAAGCGTAAAGCAGCAAAAGAAGTAGCAAGGTAATCAAAAATAAACAACGTGTATTTGTATTAATTGTGTATGCTTCTTTTAGAGTTGAAAGAAAAGCTATTGCAGAGGAAAACGCTTCAAAAAATGAAAGAAAAGTATCACAAGCTCCGCCTGAAATAAAACTGAAAAGTAGTTTGGGAAATGTATCAGATTGGGATGAAGTGAATGTTCGAGATTTCTTATTAAAAGAAAATCTTCTATCGATGATACCACTTTGTAATGGAATTAATGGAGAAGAATTGAGAGATTTGTATGCTATGTGTAAATCAAATTCAGCATCAATGTATCGTTCATTAAAATTTGAACTTCTTCATGGACATCATAGAATATTACCAGTCTCTACATTTCTTCGTTTTATGAGTCGTATGCGTTCTGCTTGTGATAATGGATCATCATCTAACACACAGACGGTAACCAAGATTAAAGAAGATCATATTCAAGAAGATCCTATTCAAGAAGAACCTACTTCGGAGGAAGACTAAACTTATTTTCAAATGAGATTACTCATTTAAACATATTTTTTTTAAGTATTATTTTAATTCTTAGTTAAAAAATTAATTGAACTAGGATGGATGATACACTTCATGTATCATATCTTTTTTAAATAGTGAAATAAAGTGTGTATTGACTATGAGTAAAAGTTTTGTATTCTTCTGCTTGATAATGTCAAGCACGCTATTATTATCAAGTTTTTTATTATTATATGCATATTTTGATGAGATGCAACACAACAAGTAATCGGTCTTCGTTTGATAAAGTGGTAAAACTGACAGTTTATTTTTTGTCACTAATTAGTAAAAGAAAATAATGACAGGTTACCTTTAGCAAAACCGTCAAACAATGGAAAATTTCGTCGTATATCTTATACAAATATTCAAATACCAGTAATATATTTGCATAGTTGCCCAATACATTTATTTTACATATGTATACAAACTACGCAAAAAAACATGAGAAAGGCTATTTTTAATACACATACAGTGACACAAAGAAATTAATACAAAAAATTTAAACAAGACAATATTGATCTGACAATGTTATTTTTTGTTTTATTTTATTCATCAGTATTATTAATGATGACTATCCGTTGTGCATAAACGTTTTGAACCATCATTTTGATGTTCATGATTTATAACTGTTGTATTTGTTAATTTCCTTTTATTAATCGATGACTGTAAAGCTTCTATTGATGACGAGTCATCATCATTGACGACATCGATAATTACATCACTGTCTTCAGGTGTCATAACTGTATGATTATTGTTATTTAATTTATTCTGATTACCATTGTTAAACATAGCATCCATGGCATCTCGAAGACATATATTAACATCCGGCATAACAGATAGATTTGTTCGAGCCTTAAATAAATAGAAATTTTATTAAATAAAATTAAGAGAAAATGTTCTTAGACTATATGTGAAGTTTTTGTCAAACACATCTATTTTGATAATGAAAACATACCATTAGAATAACTGAAATTCTTTATATGTTATCTAAAACCGAAAAAAAAATACAAATTATTTCATTCATATTGATTACTAATAACTACTAATCATCATTCTTTTTAAGCAAAAAAAACACAAAATAAAATATTCTATTAATTTGTGGCTTGACATGATGTGAGTAAACTATGAAGTGATGTTGCAAATGCTTAAAAATAAAAATAAAACAAAATTTATTATTTCATATATGAATAATAAAAACGAATAATTACCTGTGGGATTTCGATAAAATGAACAATTTTGTGAACATGCCATTGGATCAGCATCCCAAATAGTTGAATGACATGAACATAATGTTGGTACATTAATACCACGTTTTGAACAACGTTCTCGCAATGTTGTTTTCAATGCTCGAATGTACCTGGAGAAAACCAAAATGAATCAGTGTATGTTAAATCAAAGGCGAATAAGGGATCTCTTAGACTCTGAATCAAATCTTATACTGAGTATTTTAATGTACCGTTCGATTTCACGTCGTTTTTGTTCATGTATACGTTGTTTTCGAATATGAGCTAATTGTTTTGGATCAACACTATTTACATCGACGACAGATTGATCTACAAATTTAGCTAATAAATCGAAAAAAAAAGAAATATGAAAAGATTTAATAACCTGAAACAGTATGAGTTGTTGAAACTTGTCTTTGTGCTAGAGATTCTTCTTGATGCAAACGTTCAGCTTCTTTCAATTCAACAAGACTAAATAAAGAATTGATTAAAAAATAAGTCCAATTTTATTTATTCTCTCTAACCGTTGCATTTCTTTATTTTGTTTATTTAAAAGTAAATTTTCTTTAACTTTTCGTCGTTCAATAGTCATAAATAAAGCACGCGTTGCTTGAAGACGTTTACGATTTTCAATATTTGTTAAACCATTAGTTAATGAATCTATATATTTAACAATATAATATAAAGAAGATAAATAATTTTTCGTCTTATTTACTAGTCAATGCTTTAAGTGCAAATGTTGAAAGATGATTTTCACTCATGGATCGCTGAAGTGTTGTTGCTAAACAATATAAATTTTTTATTTGAATTTTATTCAAAAAGAAAAATTACCTGATGAAGGTCGTGGCTGTTCATTTGTCCTTGGCTTAAGATAAGAAAATGAGATTAAATAATAGTAATTGAAAAATATATTACTGTTATTATTGGTGCAGGATTAAGCCAAGTTCCAACAGGTTGTATATCATCGGTTGATGAAGTCTCAGCTGATTGAATAAGTTGTTTTGATGCTAAACGTTGTTTACTATGACGAACACGGTTTGTCATTTCACATGGATGAAACGATGATGATGATGATGATTTTTCGAGAAGTGGAGTTGTAGCTCGTTGTGATAAAACAATAACTGTGTCACCTGATGTAGGTGGAGGTGGTAAAGCAACTGTTTCAATCTATTTTGAATAAATAGATATAAAATAAAAACTCGATGTATACATAGATAAGATTCAATCGTACAGTTTTATTTGTTGTTTGTCGCTGAACATGTTCTTGTGCTTCTCGATAAAGACGAAGTCGATGACGAACAAAAGAATCAAGTTGTTCAACACGTTGACGACGTTCATTCATATGCTGTTCGACAAAGGCTGAATATTGTTCAGCATTATGCTAGATAAATATGAAATTAGTTCAAAATATTAAACATAAAGAAAATACTTACAGCAGCATCATTCAAAGACAACATTTTGAACAATTTATTTAACTATCACTTAGACAAGACTAAGCAAATGAGTAGAAACTTTGTTGGGATGACAACAATAATCGGAATAGAGAGAAGAGAAGAGAGGTTGTTAAAATTAGCAAACACGATCAGGTGAAGATAGATGACGCTATTGTATGTTTTTTTCGTTAATAACTGAGTTAATATTTTTACTGTTACAAATATTAAAAGTACTTAATAGCTTTTGTATCAGTTGACAATCTGTATGATTTCTTCTGTAGTTTTTTAAAGATTCGATGAATATACTCTAAGTTCAACAAAAAAAAAGACATTTCAAATATGCTATATCATTTCGAAAAGTTTGCTATTTATATAACACTGGACATTTCGTTTTAAGCATGTGTTAGAAAATGATAAAAGTTATTTAAATAAATAAAAAATATACCATTTTGTAGAGCATCTTAACACGATTCTTACGGAAAAAAAATAGTCTGAAAGGTGTGGGTATTGAGGACGCTTCTTCTCGCACACCCACACCCTTATTTTACCTATTTATTTTTATTATTATTATTGAAATTTATCGATGAGAGTCGACTTGGGAAGATATACATAACTGTCTTGTTGTTTCAATACGTAATATTTTGTCTGCACTTAAATAGTAGGAAGTTGCTATGTGCACTCAAGTGTACATAGTCAGGCGGCTATGTACATTCAGACAGTCATAGAAAATATTTAGCAAAAATTAAGTTAGATCAGTCTTATATGCACTTCATTTTTAGCATATATGAAATGGCTTAACTTACTAGTAATTTAACATTAGTAGTTTTTTACTATATTTAAAAAAATGTACAAATCAAATATTACAATTACATAAATATAAAACAAATTTTAATTTAGATAAATATCAACTGATTTAAGAGTGTGCGTGTAGTATGGATGACATGCTACTCTTGTTTCTTACTCACATCCACACTTCACTTATTTTCACCTATACCTTAGTTTTTTTGTTAATTTTGTGGTACAAAGGATAGTTGGGCATGGAGAATTTGAATCTGAAGTCAGTTTGAATTAATTAACGAATTTTTAACTAGACACCAATTAGTCGTTAATTAGTGAAGCCGATTTTTATAATATTGAAAAAACTGTATTCGAAGGTGGAGAATTTAAATCTGATGTCAGATTTAATTAATTATTATTTATTAATTAATTAGAAAATAGAACTAAAAATTTCGATGAAATATCATTAGAATCAAAACTACAAAAACTAGAGAAAACGTTTTTTTGTTGCATATGTTGCCAAACCCTCTGGTTTTTCAGAAACCTATCGGCTTTGGGTGGTTCTGGTTTTGATAGTAGAAATATACTACACCATAATATAACTTTTTAGTAAAAAAAAAATTTTCTTTCATAGGTCTTCAAAAAAACCTGATTTTCTAGAGACTTCCAGACTTTGGGAAGTTCTAATTTTCATAGCACACCTAGAAGGGACCTTCATACAACTTTCTGTTAAATAAAAAACAGAAAAGAAAAATTTTTGGCTTTGAAAAGAGGGGTCTCCTTTAGGAATTTCATATATGTTAAAAATGAAGTGCATATAAGACTGATCTAACTTAATTTTTGTTAAATATTTTCTATGACTGTCTGAGTGCACATAGCCACTTCCTAATTTTTTTACATATAGCTATTTCAAATCCTGATCCATAGAGTGTAACATTAATTGATTTATTTATGTAGACTATATGCTGGTAAAATATCCGATAAACCTCTCTCCGGAATAAAAGACCACTGGGCTTCTAATATATCCAGCAACTTATAAGTCTACAGGTGGGCTTATATTACGTTACTATTTTTTTTCGCAGTTCTATAAAAATCGGTACAAATTTAGAAACAATCGTAATTACAATATCATCACCTTCATTCTTTTCTTTACTAAACCACAATTCTTTACAAATTTCATCATCAGAATCGATGGAAATAGCAGAAGCAGATTCAGCATGAGTTGATTCAATTGATGATGGTAATGGTAATAGATGATTTTTCCATTTGGAATAATTTCGATGTGTGATGATTCTACCGTGTGAATATTAGAATGTATTTATCATTGTTTAATCTGACGGATTAGACGATAAGAAATGCTTCCTCATATTCTACAGTGATAATACCTAACGAAAATTCTTTAGTAATAGAAACAGACGGAACGAAAAGAAATGAATTGTCTAAAAATGTACGTAGATAGAAGGAAAGAATCTCATACACATGTAGAATGAATGTATTCTTAAAAAGAATTTCATTGCATCAAAAAAATAATTTGTTTTATTTTGTCACATTATACATGCATTTCTGATTAGGTGGGCTTATATTATATTCAGAAAATTATAACTTTTATAGTGGCATTCTAATCGGGGTG